ACACAACTCCTTTACAATTAACAAGCTCTGGACATTTCTGGATGATGGATTCATTCAAACTGTCCAATTGCCGACAGTACACATTTGAATTGATTGTTTGGTTCCTTGGTAGGAGCTCGAAAAACACAACACCTTTAAAATCCCATCACACTGAGAGCATGACCCTCCTCTGATGAATGTCTGTTTTGATGTCGTTTGAGGCGAATCATCACATCGGGACCAAGACCAAAGTTTGTGCACCACATTGTTGTAAACATTCCACTTCTCATCACCAGTTATCAGTCGCTTCAAAAAAAGATCATTTTTCTCACGTTTAATGAGCATATTGCAGATATTTATACGTGCCATCATATGAACTTCTTTGAGTTCATGCGGAACCCAAATATCCCAGCTTACTTACGTATCCCAGTTTCTTCAGGTGGTCATGAACACTTGAATAATAGATGTTCAATGTTTCTGCAATCTCTCATGTCGTGTAACGTGGGTTTGACTTGGTCAATGCCTTTATTTTGTCATCATCAATGTCGATGGGCCTCCCTGACCGAGGAGTATCATTGAGATCAAAATCACCAGCACGGAATTTCGTGAACCATCGTTGGCACTGACGTTCTTGTAGAGCATTGTCACTGTAAACTTTATGCAACTTTTCACAAGCTTGATATGCGTTCCTCTCTTTACATAGTAAAACAGTAAAATATGGCAAAAATGCACAGTTTGGTCTTCCATCTTCAACTTGTTGTAAAATCTGCAAAACTCAACCAAATCGCTCAATTTTTTTTTAGAATGAAGCTAGAACTGTCAGCTGTCAAATGACATAGCAATAACATAGATGTGAATGACTTTTGTACTTCCAAAAATGAACTAGTGCCATTTGTCGCAAACATGCATCATGACTTTTCTGACAACCCAATAGTAACTCATGAGTGTGACAGCCCCCACCCCTACCCCCACTGAATACGTGCACCTCTTTTGTGTCCTCTTAATGTCTCCAGTTGACCTCTGAAATAGAGAAAAGAAGGGGACTCAACCTTACAGTCATTCCTGCCTTGCAATTGTCTTCCCATGGATGTCTTCACTGTCCCGTCGTCCACAGTAGGGGCGTAAGACACTGCGCATCCACTGGTCTAGAAGTGGGATTCTCCTTAACCCTACCACTGCCACATCCATTTCTGGACCCAGAAACTCTTCACTGGGGGACAAGAGTTGAATCCCAAAGCCAAATGGAGTAACAAGGACATTGATATTTCTGCCCCTGGTTTGGATAACTTGCACACTTATACCACCAAAAGGGCACAAGCTCATCGCTTAAGTTTCCATTGGGTATCTTAAATGGTTGCTCTAGTTTTCTAAAAAGATGCCTGTCTGCCCCTAGGTGAGAGCCTCTCCCTCAAGCCTTTCCAAGGCCTGGCCTCCTCTTCCTCTAACCCTACCTCCTCTTCACAGAACAATGAAGACCCAGCTCTCCAATCCATTCTTTAGTCTTACAATTTTTCACTTACCATTTTTCTCAGAGTGTTAAAAGATTTCCTTTCAAATTTGTTTTGGCTGATCCCTGAATGAAGTTCTGGGCCATTTGATGGAGGTGGTAAGGAGGCCACAAGTGAGATATTGTTGGTTTCATCTTAACGTACCTAAAATCTGACATCATTCACCACCCTAAAGATTCATTTCCTTCTGGAGACCAACTTCCTTGCTACTCAAGAAAAATGTGTTCTCCTCATAACATAACTTTGATCTTATTCAGTCTAATAATAACCTTGGTTTTATTATCCAAGCGCAAATGCAGTTTTTCTTGTCCTAGATTTTATTATAAAATTTGCTCACATTGACTACAAATGGCTTGGCCTGCCTTGTGAGAAGAAATAATAGCACCAGGCCCTACCTAAACTAGTTTCCTAATCTGTAAAATAGAGTTACTCAAACCTGCCTCTCACATCTATGGGCTGATGAGATATCTTCATGTACGTGAAGGCCCAGCATAGCTAAGTACTTATGTTTCCTTCCCCGTCCTGCCTTCTCATATCTAATAAATCATTTAACTTGCCAGTTCTGCATCTTGCATTTTCCACAGATCTGACCCCTTTCCTTCTCCAAACCCAAAGAAATGCTATCATTCAGGACCTGATCATTTCCCACACCATTGCGATGGTCACCTCCTTTTCTACTCAGGCCCTCTTCTATGCTGTTTTCAGA